GCAGCACCCACCCGCCCCGTGCGAGTGCCCATGCCCGTGCGCCATAGCTCGCCGCACTGCGCAGGCGCCGCCCTGCCCGTCACATGACTGCGCGGCGCCGTCACGTGGCGACGCCCTCATGTGGATGCGGCGCCTGCCACGTGACGCGAGGCTCAACCCGCCTGCGGGGGGGGGTGGTAGTGGCGGAGGAGGAGGGGCTCTAGCGCCACCTGGCGGCCCCGCCTACACCGGGGTGGGGGGGTCCTGCGGTACTGCCGTCGCTCGTGGCTTTTTGGAGCTGGTCTCAAACGTGAAAAACTTGGCTCTTCCTTTTGTATCTAAAATATAAATGATAAGTTCATCTAATGGTTAGATAAACCATATGATCTATAGTGTAGATCAGCTTTGCTCTTCCTTTTATACATCTTTATATTTAGTTTAGATACAGTCTTTAGGTAAAAGGTAGAGCTAGCTCTATATAGATGATACCTCTACGCTTTACCTAAAGACTGTATCTAAACTAAATATAAAAAGGAAGAGCGAAGCTGATCTAAAATATAGATTTTATTTAACTGTTAGATTAACTTAGCTCTTACTTATACGATCTTCAGATAAAAAAAAAAATCTGTATTTTAGAGATACATCTTTATAGTGATTTTAGAGCAGCTTAGCTCTTCCTCATCTAAAAACAGATATAAAGATTTAGATATAAAATACAGATTTTATCTAAAGATCACATAAGGAAGAGCTAAGTTCATCTAAAATCACTATAAAGATACATAATCTTTACACAGAAGCTAGAGAGAGCTCTTCCTTTTATATCTAAAATATAGATAAGTTTTTTTTCAAGTTCCCGAAGCGGAGACTTTTAAGAACAATGCCAAAAAGTCCTGGGATTTGGCAGTGCTGCGTCTGTACGGTCGTTTCAGCCCGTGCCGGGTGTCCAGTCAGTAACAGCGAGAGAGAGGGCTCCCGGTGCAGGATAGTCCGCGGGGCAGCTCCGCAATGCAGCACGTGCAGAGCCCACGTCGCTCTCGCGGGTATTTTCATGGACTCTGGGGCTTGCTCTCGGCACTTTCTTCCTCCAAGTAAAGAAATGCTTCAGTTTTGATGACCCAGTTACGGTCATTTCCCATTTAAGACCCAGCTGCGTTGCCAGGGACCAGGGCAGGCTTCGGCTCTGCACAGGACACAGCAGGGGGGCAAGGGAATGGCCAGGTGCAAGGGCTGAGCCCAGCTTTGCCCACAGCCCTGCCAGCTGCTTCCAGGGGCCTGAGGGTTGAGGCCCAGGGAAGGCAGGGCAGTGGATTGGCACTGCAGAGGCTCGCCTGCTTTGCAGGGGGCTTGTGGCCGTGCGGCAAAGAACAGTTTTTCCACTCGAGTTGATCCAATCGAAGATGTCACATTTACCCCAAGAGCCCTGTCCGCTGCAGCCAGACACCCCACCGGCTCCCTGGGCTGAAGTTCAGGAGGCGAAGCCTAGTGGCAGCTGCAAATTGGCCCTTGCCTTCTCCTGAGCTTCAGCCCAACGTGGCGCAGCAAACTCTGTCCCTCTGCTCACGGAGGCCTAGAGAATGCAGCCACTGCCTCTCCTCCCCACCAGCATGGGATCATCGCTTCCTCCCAGCCATCTTCCTCTGCTGACACACTCCCAGCACAGGCCCAGCCAAATTTGGCTGCCTCCTGCTTGAGCAACAAAAAGCTGGGTAGATCTGTGCTTCAGATGAAGCAAAGCAGACGGACAGCACGTGCTTTCCATAAGCAGCGGGCCTACTTCACTTACAAAAGCAAGTGCTATTCCTCTCTGGAGTTTATAAGATGCAAATCTGCCATGGCTTCAGGCTGCCACAGCTAACGACCTCTCTGTGCCCAAAGCACTACTGATACCCACAGCAACAGGCCAAGCTCCAGCAATGAACAGCATTTTAGTCAACTCGCTGCATCAAAATGAGTGGAGAAAGGGGCTTGGACAAGCTCATATCAATGCCTTGCAGAAATGTGTGCACGCCACAAGTGGAGTTACACCACAACTCAGGGGTGGCCAACCTGCGGCTCTTCAGAAGTTAATACAAGTCTCCTTGAATCTTTGCACAAGCACACAGTGACCAGCTTCCATTAACAGATGCTGCAAACCCTCCAAAGAGACGCATGCTGCCAGGGATACTCAAGAGGTCACATCTGCAATCGAGGCAACTGATTGCACCTACCACAGAATAGTTATTGTGGGGGAAGCAGGGCTGAGCATGCATCTGGACCTGACCATGAGCTGGGAGCAGTGTGCTTTGTCTCCAAGGTTCAAGTCCTGCTGGCCTAATAAGAGCTTACTAGAAGGAGGGAAGGACAGTCTAACAATCAAGAGAATGGGAGGAGGGAAAGCTGGGTGAAATTCCTAGCTCTACAACACTTGCCTGCCTCCCCCTCATCTAAAAACTGGGAAGTTATCCCCCATTTTACAGAGATACTGGCAGATGCTCATCCCCTAGAGACAGCCTTCTCCAAGCCTCCTGTCTCAGACCTGTGCCCCCCACTCCAGAGACCCATGCATCCATGCCCCCTCCTCTGCTAACTTCCTACCAGTCACAGCCTGGACTTTTTCAAACCCTTTTGCTTCTGGACCACAAAGAAACCTAACAGGATTTCACCTCACCAGAAGCAAGACAAGGCTCTGAGCTGTGCTGAACTTGGCCATGGTTAATAGGACTGTGAAAATCATTCCAAATGGGCACATTTGCTGTTCGAAGGCTGATAAGGGCAGCAGCACTATTTTAGGAAGGGCTGGAGCAGCAAAGCTACACTGGAAGGGACAGGAGCGCCAGTACAAGCAGCACTGATAAGAGCTTAACAGTTTCTATTGAAGTGTCACTATGCAGCCGGGTAGGGCAGTGGAGCACTGTCAGGCTATAACGAAGAATTAATACAGGTTAATAAGGATGGGTAATGTGCACAACTGGTTGGTCAAGGGGGAGAGACTGACAGATCTCTACTGCACAGCCAAATCTTTCCATGCCCAAGCTACAGTTAAACAGGTATAAAATAAGCAGACACGTCCTAGGTATAAAAGAGGTCCAGCAACTCCATATAGCTTCCTTTTAAAAAGGAAAAGTTGCAGTGCTTTAGTAAAGCAAAATGGGATTTTTTACCACCCTTCATTTTCCCCAAGCCTGAGGAAGGGCGTGTGAGCCTGAAAGCTTGCAGAAAAAGATAAGGTTTTTGAGATTTCTTAGTCGGTGTAATAAAAGGTATCATATCTCTGAATCAAGAGTTCTACAGTTTTGCATTTCTTTCTTGGCAAAGCAAGTCATTCCCCTTCCAGGCTGCAACAGCTCTGTAAAATGCTTAGTGCCAGGGATGGGAGACATCTATAAGATCATGCCAGGAATATGGAACTGTTATTCCCCAAGTCTCAGAAGACTGGAGCTAGGGGGACCCACTGAAATTAGTAGGAAGCTTGTTAGTTTTAAGTCTGAGAAAGTACTTGGTTTACACAGTGCGCAGTTAAACTTGTGGAACCCATTGCTGCAGGCAGTGGTAGATGCAGAGAGTACAGCCATGTTCAAAAGAAGGGACTAGACAGGTAGACAATAGATCTATTAACAAGTACTAAACAGATCCCCAACCACTGATGGCAAAAGCTGGGGAGGGTAATGAACAGATCACTCCAGATCAGTAGTTCTCAGCCTATTTGCCATAGTGAGCCATGCTTGCAGCTCTCAATGTGTTATGTGGGTCACACCCACATAAATTACTTCTCGAATATCCATTTAAAAAAAATGTTTTAAACAGGATGTCACATGGGCCGCAGCAGTGTGCAAACTGGGCTGCATGCAGCCCGTGGGCTGAGAGCCACTGCTCTAGACAGACCCTGTTCAGTTTAGACCCTCTAAAGCCTGGTGGGTTACACAGACTGTTGGTTAGACCCAGTACAACACTTCCATTCAACACCCGGTAAAGGTTTCCTCAAGTGCCATCCCAGTCACTCAACCAGGACTACTCCTGCAAAGAAGAGACCACAGAATCAGTTCCTTTGCTCAGCAGCAAGAACCTGGGAGACTCTGATCCTCCCTGCCACAGAAGCCAAGTCCCCATGGACCTCAAGAGAACATCACCTTACGTTCCTCTGAAAACAGTATTTGCAACGTCAGCTCCTGACCCTCGTTTCAAGGCCTCTCAAGTAAGGAGGAAAATATCTGAATGTCGTTTACAGCCAGCTGCACAGAAGTTCTGAGACTGACCTGAGAGTTCAGTTTTATTTGCCAAAACGTTCCAGTTTCTAGCTATTTATAGCCTGCAATGGAGGGTGCGAGGAGAGACTCAAGAATGAAAAGTAACAGGAAAAAAAAAAAGCCCGTCAGATTAAAAAAAAAGGAAAGCAAACATCAGGTCATCAGCAACTGCAGAAAAAAAAAGTCATCCTACTTAACTTGCTATTTCATCCTTATGCGTAGTTATTACTCAGAGACAGAAAGGAATAGACAGACACTGTCCAGTGTTTGGCTTTTATTGAGACATGATTTTCCTCTCTTTTCATATAACTTATCTAATTAAAATATTCATCTCCTTGGTTACCACAAAAAAAAAAAAAAAAAAAAAAAAGAAACATAGAAAATTGTATATACACAGTTGGGGACCAAA